ACACTCAGCCCTCGCTCGTCAGGAAGTAGTCATAGCTGCAAAGGCCAGAGGTCCCTTCTCAGAGGGCGAATGAGGATGTGGTGGTGTATGCATCATTCGCCAATAGGAACTTCTTTCTCACTAAGCCACGGGGAAATGAGGTTCTCCTCTTCTCTGGGCTTCCACATGCACACAGCCACCCACGCAAACACACACACACACACACACACACACGAGCCGTAATAAGCTCAGGGCAGAGACAACCCAGCAGTTTAAGTCAATATTGTTTTTCATAGCAACAGCCAGCTGCATGTAGCTGGAACAGTCCGTTTTCTTTTGTATTGTGAAGGCTTCAAATCAAAATTTTACCTTCAACAACTTGTAAAGGCCATAATAAATCTGGCATACGTCTCCCAAGCCCTGAGAGAAACCCCCCTGAAACACTTCATCCCACAAGAGAAAAAAAGAAAGGCAGTTTTCATTGTGTTGCAAATTTGGCACCAAAACTTCCTCTGAGCCCTCCGACTTAATAAGTATCTTTTGCACCAGTGACCACATATATTAATAAGTTATGCAAATGTTCTCTTAAGCCCCATTTCATATGCACTGAAATTGGCCATGGCTGCTTTTCTGTTTGGCCCAATTTAGGATACAAGTAATATTTAGTCCTAATCCTGAAATATTTTCTCAGCCTCTACCAAAACCATGATATAAATATGATTATTAAATGATATTATTATTATTATATTATCATTTTCAGATATCTTAGAGATTTCATATGATTGCAATGATTAATCTGAATTATCTAATTTTGTAAAATTCCACAATATAAAGTTAATTATGCTGAGACGCAACGCATCTTTTTTCTTCACTTGAACTACAAAACCCTTTTTTGCCATTTGGGGGCTGGTAAGCAGACTATGACTTGTTAACTGCTCCTAAAGTCAATATGGGACACTTGTGAGCAGACGGTTGCCAGATCCCTGTATCATGATAAACAAAGTTTTAAGGAGAAAACAGTTCCCTCCTGATGAGCATTGTCGTGTCTGTATTTATTTACTCTGTGTGTCCTGCTGTGCACTTGAAGGGTACTCGTCCATCGTTTTTTGTAGCTGCCTGATGAGAGAGAGCTGCCGAGCTTGAAGGATATCCTTCAGCTCAAGTAGCACTTCAAGTGCTGCTCTCCTTACAGCCACTTCACTGCTATTATGCTCAATATTCTGTTGCTTCCCTTTGACATGTAAAACCGATTACTTCCTGTTCCTTTGAAACTGGGTGATTTTATAAGGAAATGCAAATACTGCGACGGCCCCGATCCGGCTGTGTTATTATACGGAGCAGAGCACTGTAAATACATAGAGGTTGAATCGACAAATTCATTGTATTAATGCAATAAAGAGAGTACTACATCTACTACTAGCGGTAGAAATGTGTGATCATGACTACTGGTAGAATTACCGATTGTGAGATATTAGTACAATAATATAAGTACAATAATTCCAGTTGAACGCTTGCCATGGATGAAAAAAAAAAATCACGTCACGCGCAGTCGACTGCGGGGGCTAACGGAAAGCTAATGCTACTTAGCAATCCGCATTTAATTGAATTCAAAAGTAACCCTGGCTGACTTCAATCAGTGTAAATCATCCAGTAAGGTAGTGAACAAGAATGTGTGATGGTTCCCTCCTTCTGACCGATGAGAGGCGGTTGTTTTTTTTACATTGACTTGTTTTGCATTGACGTCATGCAGCGCTTTTGTCGGTTTGGTTACCGCTACCACTCGTTCGCCCAGCTACTGCACGGCAAGTTTGGGAGCAAAGGATGTTGTAGGTGTACAGATAGTACACCTTTAGTTTACCGGTTTTAGACTATAAAATAGGTTAAATATTCACAATTCATGATGATGTAAGATATGTTTAGAGAGATTACATATTAGATGATATTACATATGTATGTACTACATATTATATGATAATGATGATGTAATGCATGCCATATTATGTTTACTTGAAGAAGCTTTAGGTCAAAGGTGTAATCATTAAATGTATTGTGATATTGATCAGGTTAGGGTCTGATTAGGTGAGTGAGGGATTCCTGATTTGGTCACCAGATAGAGCCAAATAGGTAGGTTATCGGCGTGGACGAACGGGCAGCGCAGACCGACCTGGTTGGAGTAACGTTTGGAGACGCAGCCAATCACATCAGGCCGTAAAATAATGATATAGGAAAAACAGTACAGAAGGATTCAGAAGCTCCCGGAATTCCATACTTGAGGGTTTTAACAGACAGGGAGAAAGAGATTCTCTATTTTTAAACTTGAGCCATCTGATTCTTTGAGTTGCTTTGAGACCTTACAGCTCTTTGGAATGATTTGTGCACCACATCACTTTGGGAATTCCCAATAGTCTCTGCGTTCATGAACATTTCCATAAAACAGAAATATGTCATTTCGAAGTGAACCGTGCCCAATGTGCACTGCCTCGCATAAGTATTGAGTGCATATATTCACCCAACATCTCCTAACAAACATCTGCTGCGAGGAAGTCACATCATTTAATACCAGTATAAATACACCTGTTCTTTGAAGGCCTCAAGAGTTTGTTAAAGACCATTACTGAACATAGAGCATCATGAAGACGAAGGAGCTCACCAATCAGCTCAGGGATAAAGTTGTAGCTTAGTATGAAGCAGGGTTATGTTATAAAAAAACATTTCACGGAGCACCATAACATCCATCCTCAGAAAAATGGAAAGAATAACAAACCTATCAAGAGAAGGCCCTCCAACCAAACTGACAAGGAAAAGGTGAAAAAGGAATCAGAGAAGCAACCAAGTGGCCCCTGGTGACTCTGGAGGAGCAGTAAAGATCCACAGCTGAGGTGGGGGAATCTGTCCACAGGACAACTAGCCGTGTACACCACAGACCTGGCCTTAATGGAAGAGTGGCAAGAAGAAAGCCGCTGTTAAAAGCGAAGCACGAGAAATCCTGTTTGGAGTTTGCCACAGCTAAGTGGGAGACACAGCAAACGTGTGGAAGAAGGTGCTCTGTTCAGATGAGACCAAATTGGAACTTTTTGGCCTCGTTGCAAAACGCTATGTAAAAATGGATGGAGCCAAAGACGGGACAATCCTTGAAGAAAACATGATGCAGTCTGCAGAAAACTTGACACTGCGGCGGAAGTTCATCTTCCAGCAGGAAAATGTCCCTAGATCAGGTAGACCGTCATTCGTTGGTCAATTTAAAAGTAGCTAGCGAGCCCAAAAGGTTTGGGCTCACCTGGTTTAGATCAAAGCATGTTAATGTTTTAAATGGCCCAGTCAAAGCCAAACCTCAATCCAATCTATGGCAAGATTTGAAAATTGGAAAGTCTCAACCAATCTGACCGAGTTTATTGCCAAGAAGAATGGACAAATGTTTCCATCTCTAGATGTGCAAAGCTGGTGGAGACATCCCAAAAGCTGTAATTGCAGTGAAAGGGGGTTCTAGCAAGTATTGATTCCGGGGGGGGGGATTCATAAGCATCCAGCAAATGTCAACTTTTTTATTGTTTTTGTTACAAATAACAGGTATTTTGCACCTTCAAAGTACTATACATTTTGGGATGATCAAATGGCAAAAAGTCTATTTATTTCTATTTTATTTGAATTCCAGTTTGTACAAAACGGGCGACTACTTATGGAAGGCACTGTACCTGAGCAAACAGAGTATCAATCATTTCCTAACTATGCGAAGCCTGAATTGTGAGTATATTTGCCTGTATGTGCTACCGACCATTTATCAGCCTTCCCAGCCCATTAAAGCTTTCCTCAATACTGAGGCAATTCACTTGACGGCAGGATATCATTCTGTTTTTATGGTGTTCCCCATCTCCGTGTGAGCAGGTACACAAATTGTTGTGTGAAAATGTTGCATCAGCACATTTACTGTGCGTGTCAACAAAATCTTAACGAATACTTTTCCCTCCCTGACACAATATTTAATTAATGTGTGCATTAACAGCAACATTTACAACCTGGGAAATTATTACTTACTTACTAAGCTACTTGACCTCAGATCAAAGCTTCCTAAACTGCTACTCACGGGACCCACGTATTACAGTAGAAAACATTTTGTGGGCCGCTAAAACTACACATTGTACTCAGTAAAATGCAATATTTATGAACTGCAGCTTTTGACCATAGATGGTTGGGATACCGGCAACCCAAGCCCAAGTTTAAGCACCAGATTCTTTGTTATTATGGGAGATTTTTCTAATATTTCTATAACGCACACGTGTACAAGTAGCAAAAGTCTTTAAGATATAACTGTTGCATTCTTATAAATAAGGGTTTCAATTGGGTTCTTCCAGATTGCGGTTGCACAGCACCACAACAGCCCTGCCCCTTCACAGGTTCTGGATAAAACCATAGTATAATAAAAAGGTTTCAGGTAGAACTCCCTTGATGGGTTACTTTTAGTACAGTCGAAAAGTGGAAAGGTTCCGAGTAGAACGAGCATAGAAGGGTTGTAGAACCTCACACAGTGGGTTGTGCGCGGAACCTTTCACATACGGTTCCTGGCATAACCCTTTATGTTGGGTTAAAAAATATCTACAACTCTGTCTGCCCATGTGCCAAGGCTACAAACTGGTTCACAAACAATTCAGATATTTATTGCATCAGCGCTTTCTCAACAAAACAAATCGGGAGTTTGAAAACAAGATATTGAAATTTCCACGTTTCTATTCAGATTTCTGAAGGGGATACAATAAATGTGCAAATGCAAATGGTAACACTGCTAAGGACATGTTCTCGTACTGTTAGTGTTTCTGAAAAACAACTTTACAAATACCCAATTATAGAATACAAGCCCCTTACATCATTCATTATTAAATCAATTTATGTCAGCGTTACTAGAATGTCCATTACACCCCAGGCCTTTATGCTTCATGTCACAAATATTTTCAGCTTTCCTCAAGGTAAAACATTTCCTGTCCCTACCCCACAAATCATGATAATGACAACATAATGTAATGTCTTACTATGGACTCGTTGCTCATGGCATCAGTGTTGATAAAGTCCACATCCATGTTCTTCTCCTCGCCAGCGACTGGCAGGTAGTTGTCGTTCCTCCTCATCGTTCCAGACACCTTCCGCTGTGGGCTACACGAGCGTTCACAAGCCAGAGCAGGAGAACCTGGGGGAGGAAGGAGGGGAGGAATGTCACAAAGATCATGCAGGCTGAATTTAATGCCCGTTTTTTTTCCAATTCCCTTGAAAAGAGCCAATTTTAATGGACTCATTCGGAAATAGGCCGTAACGGGGATGAAGAAAGGCCGCTATGTCATGCACAGACTAGAAGAGGATGTAAGCTGGACTCTGGTGCATAGACTAGTGAGGGTGCGCCGTGAACCGCAGGGTTGGCGGTTCAAACCCTGGCGGCTGCACGTCCCATGTCGAAGCATGACCCCCAACCCATAACTGCTCCTACTGTGCGGGATACGTTAAATGAAGAACATAAACCATGAGTTAAAAATGTAAACCCATGGGTTAAGAATGCAATGTAAGTTGCTTTGGATAAAAGGGTCAGCTAAATGACATGACATGAAATGGACCCCTGAAAGGTCAAAACCCCCACCCCCCCAGACTTAGAGGACAACTCAACTCAGAGAAACAAAACAAACACAGGAGAGCTGTTGTTTTTAGTTGACACACTTCTGCTCTGATATTGTACATTACACAACAGGAAACCATCAAAGACAGCCGGTGATACACCAACTATTGTCTTACTCACTAACTGTTTTGATTTAAATCAATTTTATTATACTGTATTTGAATGAAATATCCCGGTGGCCTCGTGTGTTGTGCTCCCGCAATATGAAGTAAATAAAACATCAAAACAGTTACAGGGTCCGATTTGGCATACAATTAATACAAAAAGACCTGGTTGTTCCTCTTTGCTCTTTGGAACCCAATCCATCCATGGACAGAGCTGTACATGAGATAAGATTTTATCCTTTTAAATAGTTTATCACTTTAGTCCGACACATAGTGAACAGGTTATATCTAACCATAGCAGGCCCTCACATATCCTGCATAAAATGTCGAAATAATTTAAAACCTTGAAAAGCTGTCACTATGGATACCGTTGGATGTTTCACTTCATCAATTGTCGTGCTCCGTTACGTGCTGCTCCTGTGTTATTAAACCAGAAGTCAGACCATAGGCTTTTTGTGCACCGATCCAGCTGTCACATGGTTGATTCGATGTTATTACTGAACAATTGCAGCAGAGAATTTTCTCCGAAATGGTTGATGGGTTTTTAGTTAGTATTACACTGAGGGACCACAAATAGCATTTCAACAAGAACCTGTAATGCAGCTGTTACCAAATAAAATAACTCTGTCACAGATGCAACAATAAACAGACAAATATAATAATATAATAAACTGCTTATCAGTTTTTCCCTCGAGCATAAAGGCTCCTGAGTTCCGAGGCTCGTCGTCCCGTCCCAGTACCCAGGCGGGTCTCAGGTGCCGTTGAATGTCGCATTCAGAAGTAGCTAACCAGTTTGCATGTTGTTTTTTGTCCTGCAGTATCAGACCCACAGAGTACACGTGACTCGTTTTAATTGGACTCTGGTTATTAGGGGTGGGGGAAAAATTTTCTCGATTGTCTCCGGAACGATTCGGAATCGATTCAGAAAAGTAAATAATCGGAATTTTAAAAATGAAATTAGTTTGCCTGCTGCAACAGTTTGTTCGGCCGCTATGCACGCATGCGCGTCTAGTGCGCCCAGCGCGCATGCGCACTAAACGCACATGCGCGAATGTTTATAAACAAAGTTGAAGCGGCACCAAAATGGCTGCAACGGAGAGCCCTAGACGTATACGACCTGCACCGGCTTCTTTAAAAGCTGCCGTATGGCATACCCATAACAAAAGGGGCATTTTGTGTTTGAAGTATTCTTCTTATCATTGACGAAGAGCAGCTTTTTCTTTAATAGTTTAAAAGAAAAATGAATCTGTATTATCATCATGTAATATTTTTTTTACATAGGCTACTTCCATATTGTGTTGAAATGCAAGCTGCATTGGTTCTTGCATTGTTGATAGTAAATCATATTTGTGACAAAGATTTTTTTTTCTCTTATGAAAAACTCATTCAGATTTGAGAAAATTTAGAAAATCGAGATGCATCGATAATCGTTTTATCAGTTTAGAATCGATAATCTGTTTAGAATCGAATCGTGGACCTCGGAATCGGAATCGAATCGTGAGGTGCCAGGAGATTCCCACCCCTACTGGTTATGGTGTCGGGCCTCGGGTTTCCACCAAACCCTGCTTGATCCGCCCCAGACCATAAGACGTCGGTGGAGTTTCCCTCCCGACTCCAGTTGAGCCCGAGGAGCGCTTTCTGTTTCCATTTGACTATTCGCCTCGTTTTTGTTTTTTTTGTTCACTTCCCAGATTGTATGGGAAATAAAATCATTTGGCTACAAATCGAACTGCTGTGCGTGTGCATTTGGGTCCACCAACCCCTAACAACAATACAGTTAATAATCAGTTTTTACCTGCTCCCTTAGTGGGCCACAGTCTAATAATCAAGGAATTCTACTTCCTCCAGAAGCCTTGACGAGAACATAAACGCTTGGGGCAAAACCAATGACACATGCAGCGTATTTGTGTGTGTGGGATCAAATGACATAGTCATGATTGAATAGGTAATCCAGGAATTAAGATAAACTAAGCAGGTATATTAGGAGGGTGCCTTCATTCATGCTTTGTCCATCTGTCAGATGGAGACCCACAATCTCAACCTTTGAAAACACCTGCTACAGAGTATAGTGAAGCCAGCCTGTGGTCTTTCTTGCCATCCATGAAAGAAAGTCCGCTCAAATTGGGGCTGCCATTATGATCTTGCAGATCATAAAAAACCCTTTCGCTGACTACTACCATGTTCCTGTAGGAAAAAGGGGGTCAAAGAATCCAGGAAAGGTCCTCTCCAACAGATTTTTCCCCCAGGCTTTCAGAGTCCTCATCACCCTGCTGCCTCCAAGCTCAAGATAGAAATGAGGCGTTTTAATCCAACCTTAACATGAATCTGTTTACCTTAGTTGCTTATTCTTCAGGCTTTTTTTTTTACTTGTAAGCTTCCATCCTTCCGGCGATCAGTCTCAATGTCAGTGGATCCATTAGCTCCAGAACTTAAGTCTGTGTTTGTCCTGCTCACGAGAATTCTGTTTATAGTTTCATAAAGTTTACACACTGCATCGCTTAAGCCAGCATTTTGTTTGTGGTCCCACAAGTACATGAGTGTCCAAGTGTTGAGCCCATCTCGACTCAGACTCCTCTGTGGTGGAGCGTCATCTGCCTCCCTGATAGGGTTTCATTCCAGATGTTATGATCTGGAGCCTTTTTCTCCAGGACATTCAGACTTTCCCCATTCGGTGTTTCAGACTTGAGTGCATCTTATATGTTTCCAATCTATCCGTCCCATGAGAAGGGACCCCTCCTCTAATGCTGCTAATGAGGTTTCTTCAATTGTTGACCGGTATTAGGGTTTTTGCAGAGTTTCCCTGAGCTGAATTGTGGGTCTAAAGAAGGGGTTGCTTCTCTATATGCGAGCTGTACACATAGTAAAGCATCCTGAGGGCAAACTTGTGATTCGTGATATTCGTCTTTATAAATAGAATTCGTTTGACTGGTCTTTTGACTTTTGCAGCGTTGATGAGAGAGCTCCAGTAGAAAGCTTTTTCCTGCTTCAACTTTTCTTCGCTTCCGTCATTAAGATTCTCTCTCCAGTCCCTCTCAAACAGTACACCTGCATAGGAACACTATGCTGCTGCTGCTGCAGTCACTTAGCTTTGATACAACCATTTCAGCAGCTATCTGTTCACAGTACAATCCTTTCTCTATGGAAGAACATCTAAAACCAAAGTGATGTGTCAGTTAGTGAGGTAAAACCACCTGTATGCATTGGATACTTCAAATGATGTAGCGTTTGGAGCAATTGAACTAAAGGCTACACGTGGCTAACTTCAGGTTGCCAACCAGATTTTTCTTATCTACAAGAGAAAAAGGTAGTTTTTTTATGCTCTATGATGTCATCTAGTACTGGTCAGGTTTCGTTGTGAGGAGAGGAACGACAATTTGAAAATCCGCGAATACGACGATGGCTAATCAGTGTTAAAAAAAGTTTCCAAGACGGCAAAAACAACACAACACAAGATTAAAAAACGTTCTCTCAACCAGAGAGACATTTAAATTGAGTTTTGCTACTTCCATTCAGCTTTTATAATGCAGTACTTGCACAAACATGTCGGTGGGACGTGTACTGTATATGGTGTATGTGACTTTTCATGTGACTCATGCAGTAAGTGTGCAAGAACCAAACAGGCTGGTTTCGTTCCCACAGATTAAATACCTGTAATAATAATAACTTACATCACCGTACATCCACTTTATTGCACTGCACAACTTGCATTAACCCAAAAATGGATAATTATAGAATTTTTGTTCTATGTCTGGTTAAATAGCGCACATGAAATGTATTATAGGTCGTGATTTAATTGATGTAGTTACAGGTATTCCACAAGGACACAACCTTCCCCAAAGGCACGTCGATTTTGGCAACACGTTTGAACTGTAAATCAGAATTAACCATTACATTTTTATATTACATGTCATTTAGCTGACGCTTTTATCCAAAGCGACTTACAAAACGTGCATTCAACCATAGGGCTATAAACTCAGAAAACCAAGAAAGTGAAATTTCCTCAAATTTGCTATAGAAAAGATGATTAAGATGAAAATGAAGGAGGGAGGGAGGTAAGGACTCATAACTTTACTGTTTCAAGTCAATGTTCTCATTTGCAGCAGCCTGTTTTTTATACAAATTGAGATCATTGCATCTGAAGTATCCCTGTGTGATTAATGGGCTCCAGATGCGAAGGAGAAATCCTTCCAAAGGAACATCTGGTGCCATATTGGTGCGCTCCTGTGCGTTATCAGCAGCAACACTCCACCTGGAGCAACCACGGTGTGTTAAAGGACATCAGCGTCAACACCAAAGTGCAAACGGACGCATAGCATCACCAGTGCCCACATGGGGATCATAATCCTGCGTTCATTGCGACTTTTGGGTGGAAAAGTGGCAATCAAAGCGCTCTTACCGGGCTCCACTGCGCCATCACGACGACTTGCGCCACCGAACAGCTCATCGTCGCTTTCATCCTGTCGCTCCATCGGGTCTAAAAAAGCCGCTCCGGGTCCAGATCTATCTACTGTGCCGGCGCGCTCTCCGCTACAGCATCTATCCCTCGCGCGTGTATTCCGTGGCTTCACAGCATCCTGCGCTGTTGCGTGGAAACGCTGAACGGACAGCTGCACCACTTATTCATTCTTATGGAGCCGAGGGACATATTTGTCAAATTGTTCGCTCTTTGAATGGAAATATTTTCCCAAAGAGGTTTCCAAAATTGTGAGTTGTTACCTCAGTGAGATCATCACAGAAGGCTTGAACAAATCCTGCCTGAATGACATCTCCGTCAGAATGAGACCACTCTGTGCTAAAGCATCTCGTCCGCGCGTGAGGGCGTTCTCTAACTCAATGGGATGAACCACTCGAGCGAAAGTCGTGCCAAACACCGTCTAGAATGATGCTGCATTCGCAGCCCATAGGAAAACACGGGAGTGAAGGCCACCTGTTTCACCTGGCAACCGCTCATTTTATATGTTATTGCTACAGGAGCTGACTTATTGTTTTGTCAATCGGGTTTGCAATTTTCCTAAAAATAACAATATGCATCGGTTGTTGGGAGGTATGACTTCAGTTTATAAAAATATAAAGTTTTCAAAATGTGCAAAGTAGATTCAAGATATGTATTGTCATGTGTGCAGTTTAACAGGTTACTCTTTAAAACAAAATTCTCTGGAATTTCTTTTTTTTTTTAATTCATGGTGGGTTGAGGAGTCTGAGGATTAAGCAAATAGCTTCAGGAGGTGTTGTAAAAGGTGCCGAATTCCAAGCATATCTATCGCGACTACACGGCTGCAGTAACCATGGCGACGGCTGAGCCTGCGGCTAGCAGCTAGCGGTGCTACCAGTGTAAACCGAAGGGACAGTGCTAACAGTGAGTGAAACATGCGCTTTTGCTACACTGAAGGCTCTGGCGTGGTTCTGCAACTGCGGCTTTTCGCGCAATTGTGTCGACGGACTTGTTGTAATTCATGGTTCTAAAAGGGTTCCGCGTGTTGCAAAGCAATTCACCGCCAGAACAACAGGTGAGGTTTGCAGAGAAATTGGAGGCCATCCGCTTGTCCTTATAGTCCGCCAATGACGGGTTGTATAAGTGGTCATATTTCCGTATTTCAACAAAAGCTCTTCAATTTCATTCTCTCTTTAAACATCTTCCTTTTAAATATGGCGGTATTGTGCTATGAAACTGGAAATGTGAGACTCCGTAAAGGACGCAGGCAGCAGACCAATCACAGACTTGCGGGCTGCGTGAGGCTTGCGTAGCTTTTTTTTATTGGGACAAGCTCCCACACGTGTAGGTATGACCGGCCTGGCAAAGCTCCGAAAAGCTCCTATTAAAACAGAGTGACCTAATAATTCCTCCAGTATATCTGTACATAGACCACTTGTTCACTTCATTTAAACGTTATTTATGAATATATCAGCACATCTTAAGTTTGCCGCCAGAGCTGTTTACCCTATTTTTCTATAAAATTAGAGGAGGGGGATACACGAAATATGACCAAGCACCATCCGTTAGTACAATGCTCTTCCAGTGTATGTTACCGTGAGGCGTGCGAGTATTGTGACGTCCGACATCTCCACAGGGCGTGAACGCAGCATTGTTCTCCAGAATCACTGCGCCAGCTGGTGCCGCCCACACGCGCTGGACTCCTCCAGCGGGCGCAAGGTGAACGGAGGCGCACGAGCGGGCAGAGAGGAACCTCCGGACCCTACCGGGTCAATGCGGACCCCCTCCTGAAGGAATCCGCTTCTAATGGTCTACGCGGAGAATAGTAGACCCATGACGTCCGAACTATCTGCAGCCACGTTCCGACACAAACAAGATAATAATAATAAAAATAAATGGGTTTTTTTCGGTACATTCTTTATGTCGCTACCTGTTAAGCGGTGCGAGAGACGGCGTTTCCAGGATGGGATGTGGAGCGCGCAGTGTATTGATATCACAAACAGCCTTCACTGGGAACCACTATTGACAACGAGCATTCACATCCACATGTTGCCCGCGCGCACGAGTCTTTTAGTCAAACGACGCCGAATCGATCGAACGCGCTCGCTGTCAAACCGCCGCTCGAGACAAACCGCACGAATCCGACTGTACCCGAGCGAGTAAAGGAAACTCAAGAATCACGTGCACGTTGTGGTTTTTATACCGACGTACCAAAATGATGCCCAATTAGAGGACCGTGTTCATATTAAAAGGGTGTCTGACTCGTTTTAAAGCGCCGCATGATTTGCAAATGGATCATTTACCTTTTCTCCAGAGTTGAAGTCAAGCAGCTTGGGTAGGGAGATGGACAGCAGCACGCACAGGTAACACTTCCTACTCACCTGTTTGAGACAGTGTGCGCAGATGGGTGGAGGGGGAAGTGCTTCTCAGGTAAATTATCTCCTCCCACACAGCGACTGCGGGAGAACGAGAAGTCATCGGTGCAACGTGACAAAGGAAAGACGTGGGACTGCTTATTGTCCGGGGAGCCTGAAGGCCACACATTCTAAAACAAAGCCTATAAAATACATCCCATCACGTCTGCCCGCCTGCAATTTTTGTGGATGATCAGAGCTATTTATTTTTATTTTGTGTATCTGAAAATGACCAGGGCACTGATTTCAGCCAAGCTTACAGCCAAGTCTTCCCATTGCAGACAAACATTCCCAAACTGGCGTGTGTGGACTTGCAGTAGACGGCCAGGAAGCTCACAAACACACACACACCCCACCTCTAAACTCCCTATAGAGAAATGAATGGTTAAAAAAGGTTAAATAAGGACACACAATTTGCAGAAGGGCCAGACTGTCAATTCAAAATGCAAAGCGATCAATTTGGCAGCAAGCATACACGACTTGAGCAAACTTATCAAATAACAAAGTTCTCACCGAACATATCACACATTCAAAGTGTGCGGATCAGGTCACCTGAGGACACAATGTGGGACTTACCTTATTACTTCTACAATATAGTGACAATGCGTGAGACGGCGATGAATTAGAACAGTATGTTAAAAGTTCAGAAGTCTCTCCTGATGGAAATGTACATATGGGTACAAAAATCAGACAGAGTCCCTGGGAGTTGGGGGGATGTACATGTTCATCAGACACAGCACTTGCCCCCCTTTATGTGTGTGTCTGCCCGCGGTCCGTTTGGCTCTTTGTGGTAATTTGAGGTCATTGGACCATTGGTCTATGGTCATTTGAAATCTCTTAGTGGTCATTTTGTATTTCTTTGTTGTTCTTATTGGTCCATTGTGTCCCTTTGTGGCAGTGTCTCCATGCATTCATTCTCTGTAGGTTTGTCATCATTTTGTGCATCTTGTAATCATTTTCTCCTAGTGGCTGAGAGTCTTTGTGCCCCTTTTTTTGTTGTCTTGTGTACTTGTGAGTGATTATTTTAGACACCTTCGGGCCCTGTTTCTGTGCCCTATTCATCCATGGGTTACATTATTATTTCAACTTAAACAATGCCTTTTGTTTTTACCTAAATCTCCTTGTTTCACAACCCTGATCTCATTATAGTGTGCATTTCTGAAGCGTTTTGAGTAAAGCGGTGCTAGAGTCAGACAGGAGCTGAACTGTCCTCACGAGGTGTGCAAAGCCACAGGAACTCAAGTCAAGGCATGAAAGGCACCGTCAGGTGGATATCGAGTAAGGATCTAGTGTGGAATTTTGCATGTGCTTACAGTCAAATAAAGCAAATAAAAAGCTTTCCAGCAGGGCACTGAGGAGGCTCTTCCTGGAGGAGTGTGAATACGTTTGTCTCGCCGCTCACTTGCGAGGGGAACTCATGCGACTGCATCCATGCGGTCTTGATCGATCCGTGCATTCAACGTAAAGAGTGAATTTAGGAGGGAAATCAGGAAGTTGGAAGTCTCGGACAACAGGTTCAGTGTGTGTTTTGACGCGCTCTGCCTGCTCCTGACACACAAACACGCACAAACAAATGAAAACAAAAGAGAACAACATTTCCCAAATTGGTGTCAGTATAGACACTTGTGTGGGCCTGTAATTCAGGCCTCCCCAGTGCAGCGGGTGCGTGCCAATGCAGCACTAGGGAAAGGATCTGTGCATTTGCATTAGCTCAGTAAACCTATTGTTTCTAACAAATACCAAGAGTTTCACAGCCCTGGGTGTTGTTATGCACACCACACCCAAACCTTTATACGGAACCATGAGAAGGGACTGCAGTGACCAAAACACCTTTCTTTTTACCACATTACTTACGGTTTTTTTTTCTGTGTAACTCTTAACACTAAAAAAAATAAAACAAAATAAGGAAATTAATAAAAAATGTGTAAATAGTTATTTTTCAGGAATGCAGTTCAGTTATACAGTCGGCAGCAAAGATGCAAGAAAAGTAAACTCTGAAAAGATCATAAATCTCCATCTATGTATAGCGCCGCTGCTCTGTGCAGCTCTTCACCCCACATAAGCCCTCTCAGGCTGCCTGCGAGTGTATACATCGTCCCACACACATGCATATTTCCAAGGAAAGTCTTCGGTGCCGCTCTACTAAAGGTCGGCAGAGCCCCTTCCACCCTGTGAGTCATAGCTCTGGTGCTGACTCACTGATGACACTGAACAGAGAGTTGTAGCATTCAAAAAGCGGTCTGTTGGAGTAAAATAGAACTGTAAATTACATCAAAGTTTCAGCAGAACTGTCTGCTGCCTGTAGTTTTATCACATGGCGGATTCCATGGGAGGACCTGTTGGCCTTTCATCCGAGCAGCAGCTGGTTTGCGATGTAGCCACTTGATTTATAAAGCCGGCTGCATTAACACAAGGGCACAGTCATTTTTGTCTCCGTGTAACACTGCGGTTTACTAACCCAGGCGCACTAGCTTTCCTTGGCCGAAGCTGGACTTTTGCGCCGTGACGCACGTTCCAGCCTTTGATGGAATTGTCTTCGGCAAGACAAAACAAGACACGTCCTCACAACTGGATTATGTATTTAGTTAGTTAGTAAGGAAGCTGCACTCAGACTTACAGATGGATGCATTTGTTGAAAAACCTCATGATTTTTTTAGACGCAAAGGCAGAAGTGATAGTGTAACCTTACCGGTGTCACGACCGGACAATGGCCCTCAACCCAAATCCTCATACCATCAAACCTGCAACCCATTGTTGTATTATTATTATTGCATCTGGCAGGATTATGTTAAACACACCCCGTTTTTTTATCACCATCTTCATTTATTTATATTTCTTAAGGATGAGAGAGAGCAAAAACAAAAAGAAAAATAAATAAGGCCATTGACGATGGAACATACTGTTCGCACATACTTGAAGGGTTGGCTGACTCTCAGACTGAAGGTGTGAGTGTCTCTCACCTCCGTGTGCTCACAGCTTCTCATGAGAGAACAAATTGT